AAGGCTCTTCATCTTCTTCATCTTCCGCCCGTAGGCATAATTAAATCTTCATTCACCCGAAGGCCCTGCATCACCCAACCAAAGCCATATATAAGTATCATTCGCCCGTAGGCTTTACATCACCGGGCTGAAGCCATATATAAGTATCATTCGCTCGTAGGCCCTATATCACCCAACCGAAGCCATATATAGATATCATTTGCATGTAGGCCCCTACATCACTCGACCAAAGCCATTTAATGATATCATTCGCCCGTAGGCGTATATATAAGCACAGAAATCATAAACATAATATTTCCAAAATATGTCTCATCGGAGCTCAATAGCTCATAGATCATATCATCAATCATGTTCATAGTATATAATCATAAATATTTCAAAGAACGTAAATTTGATAAAGCATGATATTTCATAAAGTGTAAATCCAATTTACTCATAAATGTTTCTTAAAACATAATCATAAAATTATGTTTTTTATGTATGCATTTCTAGTATTAAAATAATGCATTTTGGAAGGGGTGCAAACTAGAGAAGACGGAAACGCCATAAACAATTACACATAAGCACATAAAGGGACCAATTAATAAAACTATACTATAACGATTGAATTTGGGAAAACAGACGTTGAAAACAGATTCAGGACGTTGAAATACCTTAAGCAAATTTTGTAAAAGTCAACAAAAAGTCAACACAAAATATTCTAGGAATATTCCAAAGATTATTACCTAACAGAATATTTCATCCTAGTCGGGTCGGATCCGGTTCAGATCTGGGTCAGGTCGAAGCTGAGCCTTGGTGTAGCCCTATGATGGATAAAGACTGCAGTAAGAACTCACGAAGGTCAAATTGAAAGTTTTCCCATGACCATAGGGCTACACCAAGGCTCAGCTTTAAGTCCTTACCTTTTTGCATTGGTAATGAATGGGTTAACGAGACATATTATGCTTTTCGCAAATTATAAATTGTTGATAGATGAAATGCAGAAGGGAGTCAATGTGAAGCTTAACCTTTAGCGGGAAGTGTTGAAATCTCAAAGTCTTCACCTAAGTAGGTCCAAGACGGATTACATACAATGCGAGTTCAATAGGAATGAGGGTCCAAATGAGATAAGGGTGAGGATTAAAAATCAGGAAGTACAAGATAGGGATTGATTTCGTTATCTTTGATCTCTTACAAAAGACTGAAGAATTGGATGGAGATCTCAGCCATAAAATACAAGCTGGATAGATGAAGTAGAAGAGTGCATTAGGTGTGTTATGCGATTGATGTATGTCACTAAAGCTCAAGGAAACATTGTATAGGATGGCAATAAGGCCAACAATGCTTTATGGCATAGAATGTACATAGGACGGAAATAAGGCTAGCAATGCTTTATGGCACAAAATGTTGGGTGGTCAAGCATCAGCATGTGTAAAAAATGAGTCTAGTAGAGATGTAAATGCTTCATTAGATGTGCGGGCACACGAGAATGACAAGATTAAGGACGAGGATATCCGAGATAAAGTAAGAGTGGCTGCAATTGAAGATAAGATGAGAGAAAATCAATTAAGGGGGTTTGGACATGTGAACCAAAGTCCTATAGATGTTTCGGTTACAAAATGCAATTATGTGACAAAGGCTCAAGGCAAAAAGGGCAAAGAAAGACCTAGGAATGCTTGGAAATAGACATTAAGAAAAGACATGCAGTATTTGGAGAAGCTAACGAAAGCCTTGGTGCAAAATCAAGCGTAGTGGCATTCAAACTGTCAACCCGACTTAATGGGATAAGCCTTTGTTGTTGTTGTTGTTGTTGTTGTTGCTGCTGCTGCTGCTCTTGGTCAAAGAATGTCAAGCGTTTTAGATACATTCATTCAAGTAAGTTCATCATGCATATGCACTCGTATAGATAATTTGAGGCATGTCAAATTATCTATTTTGAGTAATATCAGAGTTTGGTTTGAATCAGTTATGGTCTTAACTTTTTAAATAAACCATATTGTTTTTATTATGGATAATGCTAGGGAGACCAAATTTAAGTCAAATTTACAAACCAAATGAAGTATAACCAATAGAAAATAAACACGTTAATCAACATTAAGTAATAATTTAATCATCAACCACCACATCATTTGATTTACAAATTTGTTTAAAAATTTGATCACGTTTTCATTACTTTTTGGGATTATTGTTGTCGTGGGCTGCTGTGCTTATTAAGATTAAATTTTCTTTTACATGATAATTCATTCTCACGCATTTTAACTTCTTTGATGTGCATTTAAGGCCTCGTTTGGCAACTCGGACTGTACTAACTATTTTTGTCGGATAGGATAGATAGTCACCGGATAGTACTAGCTAAATTAGTCGGGCGTTTGATGCAGTATCGGATTAATGACTGTATTATTCATATTGTGTTTGGTACTGAACCGGATAAGAAAAGGGAAGGAAAAAAAATTGACAAATCTTTGTTTCTTTGTTTGTTGAGATCTGAAACGGAGCACCGAAGAGTCTGCGGTGGAGGAAGCATAGAGAGATGCAACGGATGAGAAGAGGGAGGGAGATCCTACGGTAGCCAGAAGAAGATGCAGGGATAGAACCTAAGAGTCTGTAGTGGAGAAAGTAGAGAAAGATGCAACGGCAGAGAAGAGGATGGGAGATCCTGTGGTAGCCAGAAGAAGATGCAGGGCGAGAAGAGTCTTGTTCTAGGTCGTTGGATGGAACATGTTGGTGATAGTGGTTCATGGTGGCCAACGAAGGAATTGGGTTAGAAGCTGCTTGGAATTTTGGAGAGTTTTGATTGGAAAAATGGAGGGAGTCTAGTTGGTTTTTGTAAGCAGAGAGAGCGGCTGGGAAAAAGAAGAGAGTGAGGAAAACAAAGAAGAAGAACAGAGGGAGGGGAAGAATGGAGGGAGGGAGGGAGTGCCGATTAAATTGTCCCGTGCGTTTGGAGAGCATAAGAAAGCGGGTATTCACCGGATAAAATAGATGGGCCGGATTATTTAATCCGGTGACTATTTAATACAAATGGACACCAAACACCATACTCCGTATTATGAGTACTAACCGGTACTTTATACGGTGTTCCAAACAAGGCCTAAAACGCATTATAACTTCTTTGTTGTGCATTTAAAACGTGATAATTCATTCTCACGCATTATAACTTCTTTGCTTTTACATGATAATTCATTCTCACGCATTATAACCACGTTTTAAATGCACAGCAAAGATGTCAAATGGTTTTTTGTTCTTAACCCGTCTCATGCATGACTTCACTTGTTGATTAAGTTCGATAAAGATCAGTAAGAGAGTCATGTTTTTATTGAGATAGGAGTCTTAGTGAAGCCTATATATAGATGCATTAGATTAAGGGTTTTGGCTCTTGCCGCTTATGCACGAATGAGGTTTTAGTGAGGGATGATGTTAGAGAGACATTTTGTAGTCCATATTGTAGATTATATTTATCGATCATATAATGTGACGGTTGGTAGTTGAATTTTTTCTTTAAATCATTAAAAATAAAATGCAACTATCAACATTATTTAATTTACAAAATTTGATTTAAAAATATGACATCTTTGTCATTTTTCTTTACTGAGAGACGGACGCTTTAAATTACACATGCATCGAGAGGAGCATAGAGGGAAAGATTGCACGAATATATATGTATTTCATATTTGGTGTGAGAAAAACAGAGAGGCACAGAGAGCAATACGGTTTGATCTTACTTCAGTGTGCTAGAGTGAGAAAAACAGTTTTCAGCCATGGAGTTTTAAAAGGCAAAATTCAATTTTTTTCTTCACTGGTTTTTATTTTGTTTTATATCAAAATTGATTATGAAAATGTGCTTGTGATTTTTAAAGATTATTTAATCATAAATACATTCTGCATAATCACGTTAGTATCTTGCAAAGTTCCAGAATAAGGTGATTGACCGCCTCGTTAGTATCGTGCTATTTCTACTCAAAGGCTAAAGAGAGATGGAGTAACAAAGCGTGGAGACAAAATTGCCTACTAGTATATGTATGTTTTGTTGATGAGTTTTGTAAGTCCTTCTATTCTCATTTATTTGAGTGTGTTTGTTCTGGCTTGGGAGCCCGATGGTGAGTTTTGCCTTGTTAAATCCTACATCGGTTTGCACATTTTTATTTTTATTTATTATTCTTATATGTGTGTGATGTGGATGTGGAATTAATATTAGAGCTAAAATTGACATTGAGTTTTTAAGTTGGAACCAATTCACCCTCGCTATAGGTTAAACTAGTACTCATCCTAGAACTTTCACCTTGTTTTGTATAAAAGATTGGATTTGAATGCATAAAATACTAGTTTAGGTATGTTTCAACGAAGAAATGGAAAGTTTGTGACCAACTCGAAGGTAGGTGATGGATACTCAAGAAGAAAACATGTCCATTTCAATTCCCCCAAAATGGTAGGATTAGATTAAGAATAATAGGGACTAACAGGAGAAGGCAAATAATAGGTCCTTTTAGCCAAATCCAGGCATAGCTAGGTAGGTACTCTCTACCTTCCGGCTATTTTTCCCCCGCCCGAAAGGGATTTAACAATAAAAAAAGAATGAAAACTTTAACGAAAAGCTTTCGATACTGTTCACTTTAACGAAAATTCACATTTTACACTAAAAAATCAATCCTAGTACTATTCACTTTACCCTTTATTTGGTCCTTATCATTAAAACTCAAAATTTTCAAGTTATTTTCATTAGTTCTCCTAAAAGAAAAGGACGAGTTACCAATTAGCAAGACTCATGTGTCAATGGACAATCCAATCTTATCTGTCAACTAACAATTTAACTTTAATTTTCGTATCAACATGTGTTATCTGCTTGTGAGAATCAAAATACAACACAGCATACGCTAGTAATTGCATCAATCGTGAAGCTAGTCGGGCCAAAGTTTATTTAAACCCTAAAAATTTAAATCTTTTAATTTTAAAAGAATTTATCGCCCAATCAAAATTGTATTCTCAAACAACCCAACTCAACGACCGGACCAATACTGATATATTGAGTCACAATCGTTTACTTCCCCACTGACTGCAATTAAACCCCAAAGGGACAAACCGAGCACAGCAACCCAAAACCTTGACAAATTAATTCTCCTGTTTAAGGTTTCCAACAGCCAACCTGCCATCCCCATCCAAAAGCTTCATAAATACCAAAAATGGGAGGTCCCCTTTGAGTCCCTCACTGCATTCCATAATTCCATTCTACACAATCCAAAATCTACAAGCTTATTAGGATCTCAGAGTCTCAAAGAGTTGAAATTTTCTAGGTAGCAGAGCCATGGCTTTGGTGGTCCGAGTTGTGGCTCTAGTGGTGGCGGTGATGGCTGTTTTGGAGGTGTCCAGTGCAGCTGTGTACAAGGTCGGAGACTCCGCCGGGTGGACCACCTTCGGAAATGTCAACTACAAACAATGGGCTGCTTCTAAAACTTTCCAACCGGGTGATGTTATCAGTGAGTTATTATCTCCCAGTTTTTAGTTTCTCTTTTCCAGCATGATTTTGAACGTCATTTAATTTTGGAAAATAATTTTCACTCATTTTTTCTATTGTATAGTATGTTTATGGTTGTTCCTTAGTGATATTTTAATTTATTAATTTAAAAACTAAAAACAAATAGGAAGAAGAAACGCACATGCGAAACAATTTTGTTTGATTTTCATGCCTCTCTCGTTAATGAATGTTTTTATTCTTAAGTGTTACCGATTGCGTATGATAGTTTTCAAATTTTTATCAATCTTAGGAAAATAATTATATGCAACATTTTGATAATGTAAATAATTTAGTGATTAATTTCAAAAGGGTCTCCAAGTGAATGATGATGATTATGGTGGCCATTCTTGGTTAGAAAAACTGAAAAAAGCGAGGGGTGATGGATCTCTTTCTAACGCACGCGTGCTCTCCGAAATCCCATTGGAAATTAAATTACTGTCCACTATGGATGTTTGGCATTAGAATATCCATCTCTCGATCGGATCGATCATGATGGTTCTACAAAAGATGAAGGATATGAGGGGTAATGCAATAGAAACTAACTACTTTGATTAAATTTTGTAAATCATATGACGTGATTTTTTATAATTGAATTATTACTTAAGTGTTGATTAACGTACTTATTATATATTGATGACACATCACATGTTTTGCAAACTTTTAAAACCTTGTTTTGAATGTCTTATGTTATGTGGGATCAATGGGATCAATCAGGATTCGAATACAACCCTCAACTCCACAACGTGATTCGCGTTACGCACGCCATGTATCGGTCATGCAACGCCTCACTCCCCCTCGACTCCCACACCACCGGAAATGACACTATCACCATCACCACCAGAGGCCATTACTTCTACATGTGCGGGGTTCCCGGTCACTGCCAGGCCGGCCAGAAGGTCGACATCAACGCCATGCACCATCCTTCGTCGGCAGCTCCATCTCCTTCGGCATTGGCCCCTCCAACAGTTACTGCTCCGCACGCACCGATGCCAGGTCCAAGCATGGCTGCTCCATTACAATCACTGAAGGGAAATTTTGTTCTGCTGGGATTAACACTTCTTGTTTCTGGTCTTGCTTAGTCACTCAAGTTTATTGGTTTTATACATACTGGGCAGTAATTTGAGTCTTTTTACGGCTCTTTTGAGATGGGTTAGTAGTGATTTTCGTACTTGATATCCAGACATTACATATACAGCTTACACAACCATCGAATAAATTTCGGATATTACCAAAATGTGGAAGATTTGCATAAATAATCATCAATTTTTGGCTCAGATCAATCATACAACTGATGTAAACATTTTCACTGTGTTACATGAACTCTTTTCGGAGGATATATTAGTTCACACTTATTTTTAACAATAAGAAGCTGTTAACAATACCACATCGCTCGGTAACTAATAAGAAGCAATACATTAAAGTAAGGTTACAAACTCGGAAAACTAAAGGTTTTGCACGACTAGCAAACATATTACAAGAGAACATAAAAGGAGAACAAGCTAAAGGAACATACATACTACGAGAGAACACAAAAGGATAACAAGCCAAAGGAACGGATGAATTATAACTGATCTATAACGTATTGCTTGCGGTCAAGATCGATTTCAATTTGATCCATCACACTAGAACCCCGAATCCGGGCTTTTAAGTTTTGGTTCGGGGTCCTGAACCTAGGGTTCCAAGTCCTAAGCCAGGGGTACGAATTCCCAAATATCAACTCTCTTGGAATGGAAGACAAATAAATGCAAGAATGTAATGGTAAATTAAAACGTGTTCCGTTGCACTCTATTTGTGTCAACTGGAACATCATTCAAAAGTAGCAGACGCTGATATGCTGTTGCGTCTGCAAGAATGCATCAAAACTGTAAGAGCTCAGAAATTCCTTTCAGTAAACATCATCTGTATCAAAACTAATGTTGATTAATTTCTCACTAAACCATTTTCTCGACAACACTAAAATCAGTACAAGTACATTGGGTCACATCCTTCCCATTCCTGCAAATTCCTGTGTAACCCGTCATTTATTCAGCGTCCCAGACTTAACCTCTATGTCTGCATTAATCTGCCGTATATTATCATCCAGATATACATGCTGCAAAATTCAGGTGAGTGTGATCCGTTTACCCTCGGTGCGAGGGGAAGCATATTGATGGATTCTAAAGTCCTAGATCCTAAGGTAAACTTACAGAGAAAGAATAAGATTTTAGGTTCAAAGAATGGAGGAAGCTCTAAAGAATTAAGTCCTCAAGGATGATCAGACCTTATTATCAGCCGGACACATGATGTTAGACCAGAAGACTAGTGAGAAGCGGGCGCTCCATATCTCCATTCCTTCCAACCTTTCTTCTATCTCGATACTGAGTTCTGCCATCAGAGAATTATGAAGAAGATTAAAAATTTGTCAATGGAAAAGGTAAAATGCATGTTCGGACAAGAGATTTGTTTTCACATCACAGGTGCCATCAGAGAATTATGAAGAAGATTAAAAATTTGTCAATAGAAAAGGTAAAATGCATGTTCGGGCAAGATATTTGTTTTCACATCAAAGGCGCCATCAGAGAATTATGAAGAACATTAAAAATTTGTCAATGGAAAAGGTAAAATGCACGTTTGGGCAAGAGATTTGTTTTCACATCACAGGTGCTATATTTGGCAAGTAAAGCAAAAATGTTGTTTAGAACGAAAGCAAGTGCTAATTGGCTTACTTTCTATCCACTCTATGCGAAAGCAAGTGCCATACGGTCAAAACCTCTAGCAAAAGAGGAACAGTGAAGTGGGAAAATGGAGAAAATTGAATCATGTCACTGACATAAGCCTTTAAAGAAATGATAAATATCAATTTAACTGGAAGAAAATAATTCATGAATAATCCATGGACTAAAATCCACATTGAACATATTCGGTTCAAACATATTCAATGTGCCATGTAGTCTCCTCCCAAGTTGACATATATAAAAGAACGAAAACTTCTTCATTTATCTGGTCTGCAGAACACATATTTCTCAGGCATATACATCTATGTATCACTGTATTCTAGGTGCCAAAAACAAACCCAGGACTTGAAAAAGTGTTCACTTTCTGGATGGGCATGCTATATATTTGAGAAACTTGAGTCTCACAACCTTGATCACTCGTATAAATCTTCTCTCTTGGATGCACATTGGCATCTTTCTAATAAATTTTGCAGGCTACCGACACATCAAAAAAGAAGAAAAAGAAAGGCAACGTTGCGACATGATCACTTTATACAACGGAACCAAATTTGTATTTGAAGACCATATAAAATGCCACAAGCTTGCCATCATAATGAGGATTAACTAATGCACACATCTAACTATTTTGATAGATTTGGCATGAGCAAAGCATCATAGAGACCTTACACTAGTCGATTGGAGCTCCACCGAAGCTGGATCCTCATTCTCCTGCAAGAAAAACTAACAGAAGTCAATACTTGCGGTATGGTGCTGGTATAATCCATTAAGAGGATGGATGGCAATACCTCAAGCAATAAATCCTTCCTGGTAATCAAGCCAATCACACGAGATGGACGAGGAACAACAAATATATGCCTCAGACCTAGTTGTCGGAAAAGATTATATACCTGCATCATCATACAGAACGATATAAATTTAAGTTAGAACAACATGCCATGCAAGAAAAGCCTTAAATGAATGGCAGCGAAATTATCACCTTTGTCAAAGACATATCCTCAGGGACAATGTAAGGAGATGGGTTTAAAAATGGGGCAAGATCTATGTACATTTCCATGTCATCTGAACTGAGATGTATATCATTCATAGATAAGCCTTTACTGGAAGCAGGTTTCACAAATTCACTGATGGTGTGCCTGGAATATAAAGGGAACTGTCAAACATATCCTAGTAAAAGGTGAGGGCCAGAATACAAAAAAATTTCAAGCCTCGACTTGCCTGATAGACCTGGATCCTCTTGGATCACAAGGTAAAGGACTATGTTGGAAATCCACCTTCGACTGCAGAAGTACCAACAAGTGACTGCATCACAATTCAAATACTCACGTTAATGTTTTAAAACATTTGCATTGTCTGCTTCAAAAAACGAAATCAGACGTAATGGAGAAATTAGAAATACCATACCTACGAAGCATTAGTCCAATTACAAGTGTTTCCCCATTTCTTGCATGATCAATCACCTGGAGGGAATACAAAATGAAACACACACTTCTATATAAAGCAAAAAGAAAGAGAGAGGTTAAGAGAGGCAAAAACAAAGTAAAGCATACAGGGAAGCCATTATGATTGTTGCTCTGCAAAATAGAAACCACATCTGCAACCTTAACAACACGAGGGAAGGAAATCACCTACACAGACAGAAAATTGAGCACAGTAAGCTTACTATTGAAATGAATAAAAGTAAAAGAATAAATAAGTCGATGCATTGTGAAATCATTGAAGCACAAGGCACTCGCACCATGTACAATTAAAATGGAAAATGCAACCACAGGCAAAAAAAAGTGTTTAATACCAGAAATAGTGCCTGCTGATGTTATTTGGAGGAATAGGCATCCCCTTTAAAGTAATAAGAGAAGGTAGTCTTTCAACTTTTTTTCTTTTCTGCTTTCATTTGGATGTTTCCATATTTGGGTGAGAACTGAACAAAGACTCCCTAACGTCCAATCCAGTTATCTATAGTGATATGAAGCATAACCCTTTTCCCAAAGGATCCAGACAAATCAATTTGGGCATAACCTTTACAGTTTAAAGAGGCCCCTCGTACTTGAGATAGGCATCAGAAGTTAGATGGATCAGGTATGCAAGTTCTAGACAAGTGAACATCTCTAGGCACATTTGAGCATATGACTCTGTACTAATGTTTAAATATAAGGGGTCAGCCATGAAAAGTTATCTATTGTCCATGTCAGCACCAAACACATGCCCTTGTCTACAATCTTAATAAAGATATTTGAAATTTAATAATGGCATTCACCCTTTTTCCAGAGGCCTCTTTTGCAGTCATCTTCCTCATTTGGTACTTGGGTCTTGATTCCAGTAATGGAATGCTCTTTAATCGCGCCTGTTCTTCGTACAGGCCTTCATTGAAAGCATCACCAACAGCCTGCAAATGTAAAAGGTGTAAGTATTTCTCCAGAGCATCTACTAATACAATAAAAGTTTCAGAAGTGTACCTTCGAAATAAGAAGAACAAGCATGATAAGAGGCAATAATTTCAAATTATTTGTGATTTCAACCATAATAACGCACAGAGACACTGTCATCCGCATTGAACCTCCAAGAAAAGAAGCTGCTCCCAGTAGAGCATATCTGCAGACCCCGTAAGCATGAGAGGAAAGTTCATGAATACATTACATGCATTGAAAAAAAAAAAAGCGCATTTAGTTTTAAATCTCTGTCAATAAATATTCACAAGACTCACGTTCCCTCTTCAATGTTGAGCTTCTTGTAAAAGCTAACCACAAACTTGCCCACAAGACGCCCATATGTAGATCCTATCATGATCCCAGGAACAAATTGACCAGCTGGAACGGCAGTACCAAATGTCACAACTGCTAATGAATAAAACATCACCTGGAATGCATTGGGAAAAGTTACACAAATAATCCTTAAGGGAGTAATGACACAAGAAAAACTAACTTCCTTCTGGGAACATTCATGGTCAAATTACATTTTTATTGAAAAGATTCAATGTTCTCCAAGCCCTTAAATTCCAAGCCCCTATACTTATTTTAGAGATTAGATTCATTTTCCAAGAGCATATAAACTTTCTTATGTATGTTATCGTTTGTCCCTTGAAATATTTCTTTGGGGAAGGCAAGCTCTATTGACAAGACCTTACAACATTCTAAATATATTTTCATACTGCCAGTGGGAGTCTCTGTGCATGAGCTAAAATGACATACAAAAAAGAGGAGCCTTGTCATTAACTTCTAAAAACTGAATACAATGCTTTAAGAGGAAAAAGCAAGCGTTGAGTGAAGTAAACAAATGCAATACCAAGAAGGTCAACAAACTTTGGGCACTATACTCATGAATTGTTTTTGCACTAAACAAATTCCTAATTGCATCATCCTGCAACCAAAAGAAAAAATAAACCCGTAATGAGACCCGTAAGGCAACCTGAAAACCAATACGTAAAGGATGAAGTAAATGATTCCAGAAATTCTAAAAACCTGAGTATTGAAGAAAATAGTTGCGAGATCATTGTATTCCTTGTTCTTACTGCAATAAAACTGGAAATACGATAAATTAGAAATGAATATTCTGACGTTACTTCAGAATTCTCAGAATTCAGTATTTGGACCCAAAGTATATTCTCAACACCCAAATGAAGCTGAATCTTAGTAACGAAACAAAATGATTCTTTAATCAGTAAGAGTAACTTAGGGCTTAGGGTCAATGAGAGACTCAAACTTGGGAGTTTAAAATGAGCTTTCCCAAGAAAATTAACAATAATGATAACTATCTTCGCTAATTTTTTAAACCATAAAACCCAAGTGGCTTCCACATGTATTGAGAACTCCAGACATTTTCCAGTTAAACCTACAAGTTTCATAGAGAGGTTCTTGGTATACTAATACTATCTACTTTTTTTTTTATTATTAAGAGTAGACATATGCACCTTCAGGTATAAGTTGCCCATTCAATTTCCATATTATGATATGGCTACAAGGGAAAATAAAAGTACTGTTTATTCAGTTCACGCTAAATACAAAAGAAAGACACCACATACAAAACTGAAGCTAAATGGCAAGAAGAAAGAGAAAACCTATAGACGATTTCAAAAGAACTGAGCAAGTAATTATCAGTTGACATCTTACATTTACATAATTCCCATACGTTCCTGGAGGCCTTGGGCATTCAATACCAGAATCTAGATCTGCTTCAGGGCATGGACTGCATTTTCTTAAAAGTGGTAGACCAAAGGAAATAATTGATGTTATCAGCGAGATGAGGCACGCTTCAATTATCTGCATTTTGGTGTTTGGCGTGAAGGGAATAAAAAGGAGTTGAAGTCAATTTTAGAATTACATGGTGCTATTGAAAGAATATAAACGTTACCGACTACAGTCAAAAACCAACCTTGACTCGATTCCCATTCTTGTGCAAATAATTTCGACGCCAGTATGCAATATAAAACGTAAGCTGGTTAAATAAGGCTCCTGAAAAAAAGAAAAGAAAATGAAAATAAAGTGAAATATTATGAGGAAAGAAAAACAAAGGAAAAGCATGTAGACACACATAGCTCAGACAATGAACACCATACCCAGTAATCCTCCAATGACCCCAATAACCGCCATCGGCAAGAACTCCTCAAAAGAGTAGTCCTCTTGACCACTGAATGACATCCATTAGGAAGTTAGAAAAAGGCTCAAAACTGAGGAAAAATACAAAACTAAAGAGGTTTTTAGATATTTTTCTTGAAAAAAAAAAAATATTAGATCTTAACTCTGATAAGTCCCATATTATGAAGCCACCTGAGCCAAAATGTCCACACTTTCCACTCTTACACCATCCCATTGCAGTACGCACCACAACAGCCACAATAGCAGAAGTAAAAAATACACGCCACATAAGTTGACTCTTCCACCTTATGAACAAAAAATTAAATAAAGGTTATGAAATCCCTAAAAGAAGGTTGAGGAATTGAGTTTTAATACTTAAAAGAGCTTTAACTCCACATGTACTGACATATATAATTGTAATTCTATGTTTCAATCTAAAATAGACGTGCACATAAAACTGAAAGGACGAAGAACTAACTATCATAAAAAGGTTTTAACCAATAAAAAATATAATCAAAATGCACATTGAGACTATAACTGCATGACCAAGAATGAAATTGCATTACCAAGATGTAACTTCTTCCAGTGCAAATAGAACACCACCAACAGGAGCTCGAAAAGCAGCAGACACTCCAGCTGCACACCCACAGGTTACCTTTTCAAAAAATCACACAAATGTAAACTGAGTACAATTTTGAGGTTCATCATAGCTATTTTTAAATAGAAGAAATATCAGAGTTGGACACATCAAAGAGCAAAGGAAGATGATAAGAACAGTACTTGGATAATTTTTTTTTTGGTAATTACTTGTACAATCTTAACAAAAGTTACATACAGACATCCAACGAATATATAGTGTACATACTGCATTTTCTTTCAATAAAACAGAACGTCACATATGAACTAGATTCGTGATATCAGTAGTGATAAAAGAACAGCAGTACAACTACAAAACCTCGTGAACTTGATGACTAGCATATGTTAGTCGTGAACAGAGAAATACTCAAACAAGATAACTATGCCTATGACTAAAATTGCAAGAGAAACTACGAATTATAGATTACAAAAGTGAACCAACATAAGGTAAAAAGTCCAGTTTCACACGGGTCAAACCTTTAAAGTTCAGACAAAAACATAAAAGACATGAATCACCCACCAGATCCCTACGATCCCGATCGCTATTAAATATCTGTAGCCACCTAGAGCTTAGATGGTATTTCGTAGATCCACCCTGCAATAAGATATGACCAAAATAATCTTTCAAAAAACATAATAGCAAGCAACTCAGATAGTAGAAAGATATTACAATATGGACATAAAAATATGGTTTTTAAGCACTTACGCTTGATCATTAAGATTGTAGATTAAAAAATGATATGAAAAATAATAATTACAAGAATGTGCAAACAATTGCCTACACACCCCAGAAGCTGAAAGAACTCTCCTGAAAACAATAACTTTTAGGAATAATATGTGGTTCTGTGGCCTAGATTACATAATTAGAGGCTTCCAAAAGATCAGTAGTGCTTACTTGTCCAAGCAAAGAAGCAATACAAGCACCAGTATGAACAAGAGGGCCCTCTTTGCCTAAAGCTAGACCACCTCCCACGGAGCCAATGCTCCCAAAGATCTGTGCAATTAGCAGAAAAAATACTATAATGCAAAGAACATAGTTTAAATCCCAACAAACGAACACCAAACCAGATCACGATACCTTTCCAATCAAGGTTCTGAAAAGAAGTACACCGTGTATATCAACCCCTGCACATTTGAATAACAATCAGCGGACATTTCATTGATAAAAGTAGCAACACTCAACAGAAATACATGATCAGTCCACCTTACCATTCAAATATCCCTTGATTTCGGGAATACCAGACCCAGCTGCTGCGGGTGCAAATTGTGTAACGATATATACAGACGAAAAAACCAAAACTAAGTTGATGAATATGTATACTACAAAACCAGCCACATATGATTTTTGGATTATTGCAAATGTCAATGCAAACTTCCAGCCTGCAAAGTTCTCGACTGCAATATTGATGAAAACCGCAGCTAATCCAGTGCCTGAAAGCAATCAAATGGATTGAATGAAATGATAATGTTAATGCTGTTCTACTAAAAATTGATTCTTTTGAAGTGACAGCAGAAAAGCTACACATTCAGTACCGGAAGCTGAGAAGTGCTTACCGATACCGATGAGCAAAGCAAAGAACCACTTCACCATCACATGATAACCAACATAGAGCTTCCCTCTCTGCGCCTGTAGATTGCCAAACACAAAATTAACCCCCCAAAAAAGGAACATTTCTTAAAAAAACTCCCCCTCAGTTAAGCTTAAAATTGCAACCTGCTCCTCCCAGTATGCGTAATTTTCAATAACTTCGTAGTCAAGGCTCTCGACGCCGACATCGTCGCTCTTCTTCATGAGACCGACGGCGTCGGGCTCGGCGGCTTCCTCCGAGTGCGGAAGGCGGGACCAGGCCAGCTTCGGCGCCTCGATCCCGTTCTGTAAATGATTCGACAGCATGATTGATTTCTTCAAATTCGGTATTCCGATCAAACCCTAGAAATTCCGAAATCGATATCCAAGTCCACGCACCGCATAACCGATCGGAGATTAGATTGAGAAGCGAATTGAATTCCGGAAAACCAGAAATGTGTAATCGGAATCGGAAAACTGTTTTTGGGAAGTGATTCGAAGAGAGAGATGAGTCTGGCGTAAAAAAGTTGAGAACCGGGAGTCTCTCTCTGGCTTTTTTCTGTCGTTTTACATTTTTTATCTGTTGACTGAAAACCCATCGCTTTGAAACGAAGCAGGTGCTTGCGCGCGAGGGAGTTGGATCCTCTGCGGCGGCGGTTGTGTGGAATTTTCGGATGCAGTGAATGGGCGGTCAGATCGTAGCCTTCGAGAAATGCAATGATCATTGTTTGATGTGACGTGGGATGAAGTGTTCGGTAAGAATGGGATTAGAATGTAGCGGATTATTGCTTGGGGGAGGGAATTTAGGTCTTACGGTTGAGGAATATAAAATGATTAATAAATTAGATGGGACGGTGGTGTGGGGACGTGTCAGCGTCCAACCGAGGTGAGCAAAGGTGCATGGTATTAGTAACAGGAACTAGATCCGCTCCTGACATTAAAGATCCACACATCTGGATCGTGAATTGGAGAGTAAAAAATCAAAGATGTTGTTTGTGTGTCAATTTATGCGGTCCAAATATATGCATTTTTTAACTCGGTTCTGATTTCTTTATTTTTTTTCTAAGACTACCGAATCACGTTTTTTTCGTATGAAAAACATGAATATTAAGATTCGGAGCATATCCAATTCTTTAGTGACGGACATTGTTTGGTGGAGGGAGACAGACCGCAATATCGACGTCCTTTGTAGTCCAAAACCTAGGACTCATAAGTGTACCATCCCAAGTGCGTCTCATCCATAGACCATGCCGAAGTTTTAATGGACACTGCTGAATTCCACTATATCTACTTGGTAGTGAGCCCAAGTCAACCCGTCGACGATTGGCCAGTCGGCGGTAACGCATTTCCAAGTGTGAAGCCATGACTAATAGTGATTTGTTTTGCTTGTATTCTCTTTTCAGTTTTTGTTTCATACATTATCCGAATCTCCATATACCAAAGGTTTTAAGCTAAAGTAATAAGAAATGTACTATAAAACATTTGATAGAGCGATTAAAAATGCACCACATAAGCGTTACAAAACGACCACAAGGTTTTAGTATTCCCTTGACATCACCAATCAAAATCATGCTCTGAAAGTTCTAATTTATATTTATCAAATTACTATAATTCTCTAATTTTTGGTACATTCTAATCAATAAATTGAATATTTCTATTTATTTCACTTTTAGAAACAAAACAAAAAAAACATAAGCAAAGTATGAGGCGCTTTGAAATCCATGTCTTTCATTGTGTCGCCTCCACAAAGAATGGAATCTACTTACAAGAATGCTTGGCATCCATTCTCAGCTTATAGCTGCTTCTCTTATTTCTTTTTTTTTCTTTTTTTCTTTTTTCGGTTTTTCGTGGTTGGATAAGAGCATCAATTTGGCTGCTCCTCATTGTGTCACTTAAAGCTTCGAAGGGGCGGATTCGGAAACAGCGAGCTCCGAATACATGGTCGATATTGCGTTTGCATAGTAATCCTTTGCTTGAGATCTCTTGATCTGAAGAGGTCAAGTATGGAATGAGAGAACGTCAGTCATGTTAATTTGTCCATGCATTTGCTATCAATTGTTTGAAACTGAATACTTGCCTTAAACGTTGGAGTGAGCAGTCCATTCTCCATTGTGAATTGTTCAAGCACCAGTGTCACGGCTTTTACAAATTCGAAACCTCTCAACTGAAGAGAAATAGTATTGAATTTTTTATTAGAACATCCAACGCTTAATTTGAACAGCATGCAAGACACGGATAGCGTTTGAGTAATTTTATTAAAGTAACTTGCCTGAGCTTCCCTGCCAATAGCATCCATATCAGCCAATACAGCTGCTCTTGCTCTTGGATCATTGCACAGTTTCCCTAAATCTTCAAACTGCACCCAAACATCACCAGAGAAGTTATTCAGAAGTTAAACTGTTTCCAGTTGTTCCGACTTTTGAGAAGTTACTGAATGAAGATTATCAACTGTTTGTAGGAAAAATTGAAAGGCCAAACACTTTTTTATGTGCATCCGCAAAAAGGTCAACCAAACTTTTTTAAGTCTTCAAACATGGAAGTTAATATATTAATTTTTTGTGATTGAAATGTGATATCTTCACCTTAATCCCTTCAGAATCAGCCCATGCTTTCAACACATCCGGGTCAACTGCGACAATCGCTACCAACGAAGAATTAAAGCTGTCACCTATGGATAGCAGCAAATAAGCAGTCAGCAACCCATCATGTGAGAGAGAGAGAGCTTGCAGATTCTAAATTCTTACCATGGACAAAGCACTGGGCAACAAACTTGCACTTGGCATAGACATTCTCGATTTTCTCTGGAGCTATATACTCTCCCTGTGCCAACTTGAAAATGTTCTTCTTCCTACAGGAGTATACAAAACCTCCAGTTATAAGCTGTCGACATGCTAAAAGAGGACTAATATGCTAAGCACGATAAATCCTGTCATTTCAATAGATTCTCTCCATATGAGGTGTCGGTCAAATTAACTTTCTGAAGAAAAATGGGCAGGATTTGGGGTGGGGGGATGGGAAGAGTAGAACCGTCACAGTTCGTTTAACCCCTAGCATCCAACCTGTAGGCATTTTAATTGCAATGCCCAGTGAATATCTTTCGCAAGACCATGCAATATAAACCCATGCTAGGCCATGTCTGATCCTAATCATCCAAAAATATGCTGTGCGTCTTTTGCTTTATTCGAATGTCAGCAATTGCCTGGGAAATCTTATGAGCCTTAACATGTGTGTGTGTGTACATATATATTGAACTTGACACTACTACCACTTCGAACTTTACAAGGTTACCATATTCGTATCACAATTAGAAAATATAAAGCTTGATACTGAACAGAATGAGGATGCTATTATCTCACCTATCAATAATTTTCAGACGACCTCCAGGTGACCACAAGCCAATGTCTCCAGTATGAAGCCATCCATCTTCGTCAACCACTTCCCTCCTATCCAGTACAATTATATTATCAGACTGATTTTATCTGACTGAATGAATACCATTTAAAATAAGCAATAACAGGTAAGTTAACTACGTCTGCACTTCATCTTTGTAATAGCCTTGGAATATAATAGGACCCCTGACACAGATTTCACCACGAGGATAGGGTTGATCATCAGATGTATAGTTCATTTCCGGTACATCAACAAGCTTTATTTCTGGAATCAAAAATATGAAAACAAAACTTTAAGGTATTAACAATCTGACACAGATTTCACCACGAATTCAAGCACCATTGTCAGATGTATAATTCACTTATTGCATGCATTCATATTTAAATAAAAAATATGGATAGGAATGCATGCAATCCAAAGTACATGTTCAAAACACCATTAGGGAAAATATAGATTTTTAATGCACTATTAATACATCGGATCAGGTCCGCTTTGCCAGATTAATGTTACAATAACCTGACTAAGCCAACTTAGGTTAGACTGCACTAGTTTGTTTTGACAGGAAAATATTTCTAACAGCCCTACATGTGAGCATATAATGGAACCAAAGTCATTCAAATAGTTCCACATAACCAGTTTGCCACGTCTAAATAACTGTGATAAAAATTAAACATGATTTTAGGGCACTATAATAGTCAGATAATGATGACCAGGTAAAACTCATTTGTGTGATAATTGCAATTGAACAAGTTCATGCATAATCCTTCCATCTGTGAAGATATGCTATCGAGAAGTATGAGATCATACAAGTGCTTAAAAAATCATTGGAGGAGAAGGAATTGACACTTGAATGGCACCATGCAAGAAGTTTTCACAATTACATTTTTTCCAGCTAACTAAGTCTGACCCTCGGGACAGTAGAAGGGTTAAAGAATAAAAAACTCAAATTTTTGGTCCGCATTAATCGAAATGAACCTAAATAGTGCCATTAATTAGCTGCGTTAAACTCACAGAGCCAGTGGATAATAACTCACCACAAGCGGGATTAGGAGAGCCGACGTGCCCAGATATGTTGTCAGCCCCATCCATAGCACTAATAACACAAGAGGTCTCAGTCATTCCATACCCTTCATTTACTTCACCACCAAAGCATCTGGGAATAAATCACCACTAATTAGTAATTACAAGCCAGTAGATACAAAAGAATAAAAACAATAAAATAAAAATCAACCACATGTGACTCCTCCTAGGAATTCAATATGCCTAGAAATGTAAAAGACTTACATCTTTAGAAATTCCATCACATCAGGAGACAAGGGTGAAGCACCTGATGCCATAAAACGAACTCGTCCTCCTAGCTTAGCCTTTATCTTATTGAATACCAATCTGTCCCACATGGGGGATGCAGTTTTTCCTATAAAATAACATCGTGTTACAATAAGAAATAGTGAAAAGTACATAACACAAGGAAGTAATTGGCATCAAAACAGTTTAGACTCATCCCTTGTTAGCTATGGCTAACAGAAAGTTCAAGGAACCACGAGGCAGGGTCGAGCAAACATTTCTGTCCATCTCATTTTCAAGCTGCTACATTTCCACCTTAAATATAGACTACACCTCATTCATTTGTAGTTTTGGTTCTAATTTTCCACAATTCTAGTTTTCTATTATTTCAAAGTTAAACTTGATACATTTTCTACTTGGACATTGGCACCTAGATTTCACACCTTAAACCATTTCCATAAGATCATACTTAGTGTTAAGTACACAAAAAGAAGTTTAAAGCATAAGTAATTGTGTGAGTCGTAGACTCTCATGTTATAATGTAAAAAGAATTTAGGTGGCAAAATGCTTTACCACTTAATAGTGCCTGCTTCTTGGCATTGTAAGCAGCATTAAATAGCCTCTCCCTCAGGGCACCGGATGTCTTTACTGCATTTGTAATACTGAAT